CTCTGCCAGACCCAGGCAGCCCTGCCCGAGCCCGGCCGCGCGGGAACGCAGTTCTGCGGGGTCCTCGTTGGGGCGCTACCCAGAGGGAGCGCGCAGTCTCCGCCTCCGGCCCCGGCCGTCCTTCTCCCGCATCCTTTCCCAGGCCCGTCGTTTTCCAGGATGCTTCCCTCTCCACCAACTGGAACGCGGGGCGCGGCCGAGAGCACCAGCCCCGCCTCGGCTCGGGGAGCGATTTCCGAATCCAGTGAGGCTGGTTACCGCGTGGGCGGGGCGCCGGCGCTTCCTTTGGACCGTACCGCGGGGACCTCCGGGGGGCCGCCTGCTTCCTGATGGCCAGGGAAGGCTTCCGCAACACGGGAGTATGCGAGGAGCTTAGACCAGAAATGGAGTTCCTCCCGGGCTCCAGTTCTGGCTCCACAACCGAGTGCTCTTGGGTCAGCCCAGCCTTATTCAGCCTCGTTCGCTTCTGTAAATAATTTCAACGATCTCTTACAACTCTGAAATCCATGGGCATGACCGTGTCTACTCATCTTAAAGAACGAGACTTAAGTATTTGCGTATATATTTGAATACTTAAACATGTGCCGTATTGTTCCTATGTACAAAATATTCTATAAACTTAAAAAGCCGAGTATTTGCCAACACGAAAAAGAACTAAAATTCTGGGGGAAAGACTCAAACTGAGTTAATTCATATGGTCTTTATTTATCTTTATTGTTGACAATATTATAGATGTCTCCTTCACTCCCCCACCCCCATTGCCCTCCTCCACCCCGCTCTAGGCCCCGCCCCAGGCCCCGCCCCCCAGGCCTTCATGGCACTATTGTCTGTGTCCAAGGGTTATGCATATAAATTCGTTGGTTAATCTCTTCCTGTCCCCCACCCCCCACCTTCCCTCTGAGACTTGTCAGTCTGTTGCATGCTTTCATGTCTCTGGATCTATTTTGTTCATCAGTTTATTTTGTTCATTAGATTCCACATCTAAGTGAGGTCATGTGATACTTTTTTTTTCTCTGACTGGCTTATTTCACTTAGCAAAATAATCTCCAGGTTCCTCCAAGCTGTCTCAAAGGGTAATTGATCCTTCTTTTTTACAGCTGCATAGTATTCCATGGTGTAAATGTACCACAGCTTTTTTATCCATTCATCTACTGATGGGCATATTTGCCAATGATACATCTGATAAGGGGTTAATTTCCAAAATATATAAAAAACTCATACAACTTGACAAAGGGAAGAAAAACAACCCAATTAAAAAATGGGCAAAGGGCCTGGCCTGAGTTGCTCAGTGGTTAAACATTGACCTATGAACCAGGAGGTCACGTTGGATTCCCAGTCAGGGCAGATGCCCGGTTTGGGGGCTCGATCCCCAGTGTGGGGCGTGCAGGAGGCAGTCAATCAATGATGCTCTCTCATCATTGATGTTTCTACTTCTCCCTTTCGCTTCCTGTCTGAAATCAACATAAATATACTTTTAAAAATTGGCAAAGGACCTAAACACTTCTCCATAGAAGACATACAGATGGCCAAGAGACCTATGAAAAAATGCTCAAAGTCACTAATCATCAGAGAGATGAAAATTAAAATGACAATCAGGTATCACCTCACACCTGCTAGAATGGCTACCATCAACAAATGACAAGTGCTGGCCAGGATGTGGGAGAAAAGGGCTAGTACACTGCTGGTGGAAATGCAGCCACTATGGAAAACAGTGTGGAGTTTCCTCAAAAAAAAAAAAAATGGAACTGCCATTTGGCCCAGTGGTCCCACTTCTAGGAATATATCCTAAGAATCCTGAAACACCAATCAGAAAGGATATATACACCCTTATGTTCACAGTAGTGCTAATTCACGTGGTCTTAATGTCAATAGCTAACACTTACTGAGTACTCAGGATGTGTTTGGCCCTGTGGTTTCCATTTAATCATGTCCTTAGGAGCTCATTTCACTCGTGAGCAAAGTGGGATTCTCTTGAGATCACACAGGTAGCAAGATGCAGGGATGGGATTTGAACTCTGGCCAGCCTGATTCCAAAGCCTGCAGGCCCTATGATGTGCCACCAAACTGCCTTGCTGTGCCCCCACAGTCATTCTAGCTCTGCAGTCCTCACCCGAAGCACCACAGATTGCTCTGCAACTTTTCTGGGAGTTATTTATCTCTGCATGAACACCACTAGTATTTTCACCTTCCTCATCACTGCTGTTCCAGTCATCCTAAAACTTAGTCTTGAAACCAACTTCCTCAGATTTTCCAGCCCTCCCTCATCACTCACCCTCACCCCTGAGGATTTTGCTGCCTGCCACTCTCTCAAGCATTCCTCCTGATAAAATTTACACCCACACGAGTCTGGCCATGCCTTGGTTTCTCCTTTCCATCTGATCTTGTTGTCTCTCCATCCAGGGCAGTGGCTCCTATGGACATCCCTTATACTGTATTATTGCAAGGATCTGGGAACCTCCATCATTTCCATTTCAGTCATACCACCCATCTTGCTAGCTCACTTTCTCTAATACAATGGTTCTCAACCTTCCTAATGCCGCGACCCTTTAATACAGTTTCTCATGTTGTGGTGACCCCCAACCATAAAATTATTTTTGTTGCTACTTCATAACTGTAACTTCACTACTGTTATGAATTGTAATGTAAATATCTGATATGCAGGATGTATTTTCATGATTACAAATTGAACATAATTAAAGCATAGTGATTAATCACAAAAACAATATGTAATTATATATGTGTTTTCTGATGGTCTTAGGCAAGCCCAGTGAAAGTGTCGTTCGACCCCCAAAGGGGTTGCGACCCACAGGTTGAGAACCGCTGCCTTAGAGGGTTGTGGTTTGTTATGGATATGGGCAAGTGTTTAGCATCATGTCTGGCTTACATAAACTGCTAGATAAATACTATCATAAATGCATTATTAAAGTCCATTATTTCCATTTCCTTCTTAGAATAATACAGGACTTCTAGGAGACACATCAGAGGATAGTGGTCGAGTGTGGGGGCACCTGGATTCAAACCTCAACTCCATTATTTTTTAGCTATGACTTTGGCAGAGCGCTTGACTTCTCTGTGTGTATTTATTAATAGTGCAATTAGGAAGATTATGTAAATACTAGAGGCCTGGTGCACGAAATTCGTGCATGGGGGGGGGGGATCGGGTCCCTCAGCCCAACCTGCACCCTCTCAACAATCTGGGAACGCTGGCTCCTAACCACTCGTCTGTCTACCTGCCTGATTGCCCCTAACTATCTCTGCCTGCCTGCCTGATTGCCCCCAACTGCCTGTGCCTCCCCCTGTACCTGGGACCTAGGATTCCCTCCTCTGGCCGGTTGCAGGCACCCAGGACCCAGACCGGCTTTGCCCGGGCTGGCCACAGCTGCAGGGGACAGTGGGCGGGTGGCTTTGCCTGGGCTGCAGCCGCTGGCACCTGGGACTGTGGGGCGGACGGCTTGTCCCTCTCCCTGGCTGCAGCCCTAGTTACTGGCGCCTGGGACCGGGGAGCATGCGGCTTGTCCCTCCCCCGGGCTGCAGGTGCAGGCACAGGCATTGGTGCAGCCGCTTATGCCTGGGACCGCAGGTTGGGTGGCTTGTCTCTCTCCTGGGCCACAGCCTGGCTGGTCCCCATTCCTCTTTCCCCAGTGTTGATTGTCTGAGCTGTTACGGCATGAGGGCATGACAACCATTTGCATATTAGCTCTTTACTATATAGGATGGTCAGACACTGAACACAATGCCTGCACACAGAGTGATGAATAGATGCTAGCCATTATGATTTGAATGGGTTCAAAATCTATTTTCAAAACTCTTTTGGCAAATTTCCCATAGCAAATATCATCCTATTTATTATATAAGATGAAAAATAGCCCTTTGTAACATGTAAACATTTGAAGGCAACACTCTGAAGTGAGAATTTAATGACAACTATTAAAATACTTGTTCTTGTCAACTTTTGTTTTTTTGGAGTCTTTTATCCCCTTTAAGAGTATCAGGGAGAAAATGAAGAGTGTTTAAAAAGCTTTTTTTAAATAATGCATTATCATCATCTGTGTTGATGGCAGATGGTTAGGTTACAGGATGAAAGATGTTAGGTGTTGGGGAACCATTCCTTTGCAGTCTGTTTGCCTGACTGAGCCACCATAACCATGGGATCTTCCTGCAGAGAATTTATGATCATGAGAAAGTATTAATGTTGGAAACCAACCCTGGGAATGCTCAAACCTGGGTGTATTTCCTGGTTCTAATCTAGGGGCAAAAGGATGATGTGCAACACTAAA